AATATGTTGTATTGTGTGAACTATTGTGTGTGAAATTCGATTTTTCAGAATTAGGACTACAAATTGAACTTCGAATTGTGAAATTGTGGACTCGATTTCCATTCTTTCGAGCCGATTAGTTTATTACGGAGTACGTTTTTAAGTTAGGTCATTTTCAAAATTAGGACGTTAGGGTTTCGATTTAGAACTTCGAATTAGGACTCGATATACTATGTTGTCGAAATTGTTGAAATTGTGAAAATTGTGGACTCGATTTCCATTCTTTCGAGCCAATTAGTTTATTACGGAAGAAGCTAAAATGGCTATACATTCTCTAAATTTTTATGAATTATATTGATGAATATAAATTATTTGCTAAGGTGAATGGACTTGATATACTGACTTTATATACATATATGTTCATGTTGGACGCTTGATGTTAGCATATTACGAGACTATGAGAATTTTTTATTTTTGATAATCGAAATAAATAAGTTGAGGCCTTGTTTATTTTTGAAATGAGCAATATTTTCTAATAAATAATCTTAATCATGATATAACATATTTTTGTATTGTTTGTAGATAAATGGCTTCATCGTCCTCCTCACAGCCTCAGCAGTACAGTGTCCATCCCGGTCCGAGGGATGACACTCTTCTATATTTCCAGTACCGCCACCGGTCACAGGCTGTATTTAGTAATGCGCCGGGAGCTCGTGACACGGCGCTCACAAACCGCCGTTTCGACAGTCAATTCTGGGTGGCTTTGTCAAGCTAGCCACGGTCGGTTTGGGAGGTCATCGACCGGGCTGGTTTTGGACACTTGTTTCGGATGGGTCGAGTTCAAGCCGACAACAGCCTTATTACTGCTCTCGTGCAGAGGTGGCGCCCAGAGACGAATACATTCCATTTCGATTTCGGCGAGGCCACCATCACTCTCCAGGACGTACAAGTCCTGTTCGGTCTGCCAATCCGTGGAACTGCTGTTGTGGGAGTGACTAGAGATCTATCACCCCTACAGTGGCGAGAGAGGTGCAAGGACTTGCTAGGGTACGAGCCCTATGTTCAGGTATATTTTTTCATACAATTTTTTTTGAAATATATGTCAACTCAATTTTATCGTTTTTAATATGAAAAAACTACTTTCAGGATCCTCCCACCACCGAGGAAGAAAAGGCAGCCCAAGGTCCAAAGTCTTGGGACATTAGAGGCCAATATCTGAATGATGGAGGGTTAGAGAAGGAATGCAACCGTGTGTTGCAAGAAGGGCAACCAGACATCGTGTACTAGCAGAGGGTGAGGGCCCTTATCTTCTGGTGCATTGGGTCCTTCATCTTCCCCGACCAGCGGGCGAATGGCGTTCCACTTTACTGGCTGGACCTGCTGCAGGACATAGATGCTGTTCAGGGGTACAGTTGGGGTTCAGCTCCACTGGCCGGAGTATACAGAGCTTTGTCAACCTCGTACAAGGCAAGGAGAAGTGGATGAAGCACTACATTCAATTGATCCAGGTAAATTTATTTAATTGTTATTTGAAAATTTAATATTTTATTCTTTCTTACTTCGACTAATACCTAATAACAAAATTAATGTCCATTTGTGTAGGTTTGGGCATGGGAGCATATCCCTCGTATTCGCCCAATAGTTAAGAACAGTAGGTTTGATACTCTGCCTGATTGTCCATTGGGAGCGAGGTAACCTTTATTTTATTTAATCCGTACATTATTTTCATTATCAAATCTTGTGATTACAAACTTTTTTTTTTCTCTGATTTTTAAGGTGGGTGGGACCGAAAAAAAAGTCCAACATAGCCAATACATTGGTCGCCTACCGGGATCAGTTGACAGGGCTGGGAGAGTATGATGTAATATTCTTAATTTCTATTACTTCATTTATCTTTCTTTTTTTGTTTATAATTTTGTAATAACTTAATTACTAATTCAATTGTTATTTTTTTTACAGTTCGACTGGCAGCCCTATCGACAACACCTGGAGGATGATACTCTCCCGGAGGCATGCTCAAGAGATCCACAATTTTGGATGTACCGGGGGTGGATTTTCAGCTGGAACATCCGGGAGGTACACCTGCCTGACAGGGTCCTCCGTCAATTTGGGTGTCGTTAGTCCATACCCCACGATCCGATCATTCTGGATGAGCGAGAGTGGGACGCACACCACAAGGGTCAGGGGATGACTGGGAGAGCGTTTTACGATTGGGCCGCATTCCATGTGCCCTTTCTGAGCTCGTGGACCGAAGAACTAGAACAACGTCTCCTCCCAGTTGTCCTCGTGCACGACTATCTGCAGCCGTAGCAGGGTTACATTGATTGGTTTCACAGCAGGACTGTGAGATTCATCAATAACCCTGCCAATTACCCGGTATTCCAGCATGCGGGCGGGTGTCAGCCACTTGCCGAGCGCTTAGGCTGTCAGGTAAGTGTTCATTATTTGTGTTTATTATTATTATTAATATTATTATTATCATTATTATTATTATTATTATTATTTTGTGTTTCATACTAATTATTATGAAATTTATTTACAGACTTCTGCACTTCAAGGGGTTTATGGCGCATTATCAGACATTCAACCATTAATGCCTCAAATCCCTCCAGAAGCGCAGACCGGCTTTCAACGGTCGTACAACTTTGCCTTCTCTTCTCTGACTGTTGGGGGCCAGGGTGTTCCACATGGGGGGCCGTCCAGTCAAGTTTTCTCCCAGGACGAATACATTGCTCCCATGAGGACACAGTCGCACACGGCCAGGCATCAACCCACCCCCAACATTGGTGGGGGTAGAAGACCTCGGGCCCGTCCCCGCGCTCAGCCGTCAGCCCAGCACATCCAACCTGAGCAGCCCGAGCCTCAACAAGGTGAGATTTTTAAATTAATAATTTTTTTTTTTTTTTTGTTTACAATCCAATTTATGATTTCTTTTTTTAATTGAATTATTCAGATGAAGAAGATGAAATTGAGCAGGCTTTTCAAACTGACACACTTCTCACATCTCAACCTTCGTCTTCTTCTCACATTGTATATACTCGGAGGGGGTCCAGACCGCGCAAACCTACAAAACCATACACTCCTTCATAGTTAGTTGTGTTGAATTTGTAGATTTTGTATTTATTTTGAATACTTGGATTGGTTGTATAAACTGAATTATATCGTTTTGTATATATATTGTTTGTTCGACAAATTATTGTGTTTCATTTGTTTGTTTATATGGTATGTTGGATTATTATTGGGCGAATATGTTGATATTAGTTGCTCGAACAGGTCTATTTGGTTGTGAACAGGTATATGTGACTGTGAACAGGATTTCTGATAGAAACGTATTTCATGAATACGTTTTTTTCAAACGTATTTCATGAATATGTTTATCTAACATTTAGGGTTTTGGGCAAAATTAGGGCACCAAAAATAATTCGGGGCAAAATTACATATAAAGCGTATTTACGGAATACGGTTTATATTTCGAATTTTTTTTTCCGAGAAAAATTATTTTTAGGAATTGTAAAAATTAATTTTATTTGTAAAACGTATTTTGTAAATACGTTTTATAATAAAAAATATATTTAAAACTAATTTTACATAAAACACGTATTTATATAATACGTTTTAAATTTTTTTAATTTTAAAACGTATTTACATAATATGTTTTCCTTTGATTTAGTTAAGTTAATTGCGTTAATTAAGATAACAAATTATTTTTAGGGAAAACGTATTCGATAAATACGTTTGTTTATTGAAAACGTATTATCTAAATACGGTTTATAAATAAAAACGTATTCACTGAATACGTGCTTTTTATTTTGGTCGACACAATTTTTTTTTTTTTTTTTTNAAAATCCTCATTCTTGCATCATGTTTTAAATTTCTCATACAAATACATATATATTCAAAATGAAGTGTGAATCTGGTCACATTAAGAATGTCTCTTGAACGAATAAACCATGCATGAAGTTCTGTGCAATTAGAATCATTGAACACAAATTTTAGGCAGAATATAGGAAGTTGTTGGAAATCTTATTTTATGATGATGAAGTGAGTTGCAACTTTTTTTAGGCTTACTGTTATTTTATTAATATTTGTATTTACATTATTTTGAAATATGTATATAGGGTGATCTTATCACCATACTGATACAAGCAGTCAACATAAAAAATAGATTGACAACATTCGAGAAGGCCAAGTATATGGCATTCAAAAATACCTAGTTGACGGAAATCTTGACTCATTTCGGCTCACAATTGTCCAATATAAAACTGTAATTCATGTATGATGAATTTGATTAAGTTCCAAGGTGATTTCCCCTTTTTTCGGTTTGATTTTCGAAGCTTTATTTATTAGCGAGATAATTTCCCCTTGTGGTTTGTTATTCTATGACAATTAACAAGAGTCATAGTCAATCTATTCACATGTTTTGTTCTTGAAGAAGAAGGTTTTCAGTCATGACCATTTATATTCCCCTTGTGGTTTGTTATTCTATGACAATTAACAAGAGTCATAGTCAATCTATTCACATGTTTTGTTCTTGAAGAAGAAGGTTTTCAGTCATGACCATTTATATTCAATTTTTTCTCATTTCGCTAATCAAAATAGTTTGAAAATATTAGATCATGAAGATTATGATTTGCCTACAAGACAGGCAAAAATTGTTTTATACAAAGAAACATTTAACAATATGTAATATATTTTTTTTCAAGTTGACTAACATTTTTTGTTCACGAAAGTAATAATAAGACTGTGCAAACAACTTTAAAATTGTTCATCTCGTGCAATTTTTTGTTCACGAAAATAATAATAAAATTGTACAAAACAACCTTAAAATTGTTGTGCATCGCACAAGTTCAGTATTACTTTTCTTATTATGTTTCTTATGATTTATTACACATGGAAATAATGGATACGATTGTACGGTGGAGATATCTCTATCATCTAAACAGATCTCAATAGTTATAGCATTTGTTTGTACTTTCAACCCCATAATCATGGGTAATATCATTTTTTCCATACAATTCCCCTAAAAATCCAGTGATTTGCTCCAAACTCAATTTGATTGACACAAGGTCATTATCCAAAATAGTCTCAACATGTGTAACGTAATGAACTTGCCCCAAAATAGTATATTCTCCTGAAAACGTAATCTCAAAATCAAAATCTTAACACGCTCTAACAACTAATAAATCCTTTTACATAAAACTTGCTTCGGATAATCACATCATTTAATTTATTATAATCCGAAGCACAAAAACCTTGCATAAGACATTGAGAACTTTTTGCAGTCAATAAAAAAAAAATAAAATAAATAAATAAACAACTTACAATTATACCACAAANCCAAAAACGAGAAAAAAAAAAAATAAAAATGAACAAGATGGAAAATCCACCAGTAACTGACTACAGTCGCCTAGGCGACACTATTTAAACAGCAGTGGCTGAGTCTCTTATGGAACATGTCAGGCAAAACCTTATTATTTTTTATTTTGTTACTTACCAATAAAGCCAAGCCAATGAAGGATGACTGCCAAAAAAAGCATAAATACGGCCAAAATCATGCCAGGTCGGCCTAGGAGCCAATTCTTTGTCTTCCTTGCTCCCTCTACACCTCGCTGAACCCTATCAGCCCACTTCATCTGGCACAATCAATATCATCCATAATCAGGCATACAAATCAAAGTAGTTGTTAATGAATGAAGCATGAACGATTTTACTTCAATCTAAGTGACTGCCTCATGTACGGACATAGATTGATTAATTGTTTAGTTAAGAAAAGAAAACAAGAGTTATCTTTCTAAAGAGTCATTTTTCTATAAACAATGTGTCAATGGGGTAACTTTTTTTTTTTTTTTTTAGTTAATTAGATTAATTCCATTTCCAGGTGGTAAGTACTATTTTCATATGGCATATACCATTGTGTCCAAAGTATCAGGTGACAATGATGACATGGCCTGTTGAGCTTTCTCAGCATCTTCACGAGAAAGCTTGAATCCAAATTGCTCGCTCATGTTGGCCATCATTTCCGGGTTCATATTTTTTATCATTGATGTGAACATCTGGCAATATCAGAAAAAAAGCACAATAGAATCAGAAAATTAACTTAAAAGGGAAAAAAAAAGTTATTAAATATCTTCTAGAATGGTGGCTGAAATAGTGATTAAATTTTCATGTCCGCCAATTGTCTATTTTCTCAAGCAACCAAGTTTCTATTAAGCATGTGACAATTACTTATTAATTAATAATATCATATGAGGCCCTATTTACATTCTACACTATATGGATGCTGAAACCGATCCCAATCAAATATGAAATTTCATAATATTTGGAACAAACAACCAATTATCGTGACTACTCATGTCATATATGATAAGCTTTGCAATATCCATAGCCAACAATAAATTATCAGGACAAGGTACAAACCTGTCGCATAGCAGGATCTTGCATTTGATTTCTCATTTGTTCTTGCAGATCAACATTGGAAGAATTTGAAAAGCTCGACTGTGGAGAAGCTGAATTCATACTCCGTGACACACTACTTTCACCGACATTATTGTCGTCATTGTTTGAATACGAAGTTGCAGTTGATGGTGCTCGTCTTTCCTGTCCTCTCAACGATGATGCCATTTCAAACATCCTTTTACGATCTTCGGGTGACATCTTGCCCATCATCTCAGAAGCCATTTTAAGCATGTCTGGCGACAAGTTCGGTGGGACGGGGCCCTCATTAGTATGTAAACCTGCTGATAATGGCGATGATGATGCCACGTCATCCTTTTTCAAGGATGATGCCATTTTGAACATATTCTGAAGATCTTCTGGTGACATTTTGGCCATCATGTTGCTAGCAGTCTTGAGCATGTCTGGGGATAAATCTGATGGTATTGATCCCGGACTGAAATTGGGGGTGTTTTCAGTAAACGGGTTTTCACTTTGTAAGGAAGAAGCTAACTGGAACATCTTTTGGAGTTCTTCGGGTGACATCTTTCCGATTGCGTCTGAGGCAGTCTTTAGCATTTCAGGTGGTATACCTTCGACTTTTCCACCATTTATGGCAGCCAATGTTTCAGGATCAGTTCGAGAAATGAAGTTCTGGAAGGATCTATACATCAATGACAGATCAAAGTAACATTTAGCTTTCGCTGTTATAGGCATTTTTGTTGAGCTGATAAAACTGACAAAAAATGTGAAATATACTGTAGCAGATAATAATAGAGAGAGAAAGCAAGCAAGGAAAACCAATGAACAAGGACAATCAAGGAAGGAAAGATAACACTGTTTGTTAAACCACTTATTGACCTAGGTATCAACAAGCATTATCCGTTCAACATATTAAGCGCAAGATTGAGCATCTGATTATGCTATAAGCGAAAATGGTTTAAATGTAGACAAGCAAATTATTTACCATTGCTATTAACTCGCAGCTTTTTTCATTTGTAAAGTGTCTTGAAAAAGAAAAAACAGAAAGAAAATAAAAACAAATGCAAGAGATCTAGCATTGGTGAATGAAATATATAATTTGCATCAAAAGCACAAAACCTGATAGAATCTGGATCATCTTTTAGCGTCTCCAAATGGTTAGTACTCGTAGACTGAGCCTCCTTAGTGTTAGCAGTTTGAAAAGTTTTGGGTTGACTGGTTTCCTGAGACGGTAGTTCTGAAGTAGAATACTCAGGCTTATCAGATGATACAGTTGCTTCCTCAGTTATTTCTTCAATAACCACCCCTAAAGAAAAGAAAAAGTTTAGCTAAAAAGCCGTGAACATATCAATAGAAGCTCAATAATGAAAGTAGGCACAAGATAGCATGCCTCTTGAACGATGTGCACCACCTTCCTTGATAAATCTTTCCTCGGCTTCCCTACACAAAAGTAGATAGAGTTTATATTGTTAAAATAAAGAAAACCATAAAGAACCCAGACCCTGAATAAACACTAACAGCATTAACAGCCTATATGCATTTTAGATAATATTCTAAAACAAGGGAACATCACAGTTCCAAAATCCAGTACCGTAAGACATCTGCAATAGTTTCATCTTCAGGAGAAACTTCATGTGCAATACGCAAGTCAGACACAGCATCCTGAGAAATTCCGATAACGATGAGAAAGAGAATTTCGAGTATAAATGGAATGCATTACAAGCCAACAAAAAACGTTCTGTGAAGAGTAAGAATTGAAAATAGATGAGATCACGCACTCCTAGTTGACCCAGTTCCTTGTATGCTTGACCCCTTCGGTAAAGGGCTTTAACGTTCTTTGGATCATATGTCAGAACCTGTGATATTCCAAAGTTGTAATTCACACTTAGTACTCTTCCTTAGACATTCGTGATCGTGGATGCACATAACCATATAGGAATACTATACAAGAATGTTAAATCGTGAATATAATAGAAACAAGCTTTTCAGACGAAGAAAAACTAAAGAATTCTTACCTCAGTGCCTTCTTGGATACAGTTTTCATACTGCTCGGTTTTCAAGTAACATGACATCATATTAAGAGAGCAAGCCAAAAGAAGATTCTTTCCTTTCGATGTAGGAATGTCTTTAAGATTATTCTTTGCCTAACATCATCAAAGAAGAAACTTTAGACCAACTAAACATGCAAGTGCCACAAAAGGGGCAAAAAATAGCACATGAACGAAAAGATTAAATTCCAAAGGAACTTACACGCGTGTATTTCTCCAACGCATTTTTATACTTTCCCTGGCTGTGAAGTTCATTCCCCTGACATAAACAAAATCAAGCAAATAACGTGTTAATGTCAATTATTATATAATTCCTATAAGTGATTTTCTATGTCAAGGCAGCAGAATGCAAGTGTCTGGACGTACACAACGTGTTTCATATGATGTAGCATGCATACTACAGACACAATAGGTATATAAAGACTGCAGTCAGAAATAACTTTTAAGTTCATGAAATACGGCACCCAGAAAAAATAAATCAATTAGAGCAGAAGCAGCAAATGGTAACACGATCCTTAAGCAATATGAGAAAACATTTAATCTCAGTATATAGAAACTACTTAAGACATCAACCTAAACGTGATCTCCTCGCCTCAAACTTGAACTTCAGACCATCACCAAACTTACCAAATGCAATAGAAGGGATGGAAATAAACCCTTAGGTTCCATGTGTCGACCATGGAACAGTAAAATTTGGAATTCCTCAGGTTGAACCCAAAAGAGACTCATACAAGAGGGACTGGGGAAAATTGAATTTTATATAGGTTTGGAGTTACCTGTTTTTTCAACATCTCAGCAGCATTAATTTCATAATGCACCTGCGCATCCATTCGAGCCTTCATGGCAGCTAATTCTTCGGGTGAGGCTTTTGCCATCTTCTCACCAATCTCAGCCATCTCCTCAGGACGAGTATGCTTCAATTTCTCTGCAGCTTGCTTGAAATCTTCAGGCCTCAGGTTTTGCATGCTCTCAGAAGCCATCCTTATCAACTCTGGATTTGACATCATCTGAGTGAAAATGAATTTGCAGTGAGAACAAAATTATTGCAGGAACTCAATTGAAAAGAAGGGACAAACACACACACACACACACACAGACTCGAAATTCTTCACATCCATGCAATTTGATTCCACACAAGACTTGGCATTTAACAGAATCGAAAAACCGAATTCCCAAATGAATACACTGAAAGTACAATCCGTTATCATCCCAGATGTAAAAGATAACCACTGATCATCCGCAACCAGAATAACTACAGATTATGCGCTGGATCGAGAATTACTTACTAGATTCCCCGTCATTTTCACGAGACAACCCAACTATTGATGCAACCATAAGCAAATTCCCCCCCAAAAAAACAAGTATCCGATCCGTCTGAAGATAAATTCACAAAATTCTCTCGAAATACATAAATCACACACACAGGGAATTAAGTACCTGCTGCTGTATCCGAGCCAGCTCAGCTGGAGACATGCGACTCATCTGCTCCTGAGCCATCCTCATCAATTCCGGATCCATCATTCCATTAAACATCTCTCCTAATTTCCTTTCCAAAAACCCTACAAGCAAATCACCGATAGCAGACAAAATACGGCTAAATCCGCCGTCGGAAACTCGGTTAAACAACAGCAATCAACCGCGATGAACAATGAAATTTGCCAGGAACAAAGACAAATCGTCGAATTTATGGGATGATTTCTTTTTTGTCAGATTTCTGTTAGGGTTAATATTTCGAGAGAAGTAACAGAAAACTCGAAATTACAACAATGATATGGTTGAAGAAAGTCAACAAACGGTCGCCTATAGAATTTTATATTAGAGAGAAAATGTGACAGGGATATATAGAGACGCAATGTGTGTGTCGTTAGATTTATTAAAAAATTAAAGCGGATTAAATTTAAATTAATTTCCTAATAAAGTTGGGGTCTTATTGGACGCCCACCGAACTAGAACATTCCAACTACTAGTTACTATACAGGATTGCTATTTGTCGCCCAAAAAAAATAATAAAAAATGATAAATTTATAAAAATATCCCTGTAGTAAAAAAAAAGTTACTAGAAAAAGGCATGCAAACGTCTATCAACTTAGCTCGGTCAACAAAGGAAACGTCCAAATGTTAAGTCCGACTCTAAGGAGAAACGTCTAGAAGCTAAGCTTGAATGTCAAAGAAACGTCCAACATGAAAGCCCGACTGTGAAAACAAACGTCCAAGAGCTAAGCTTAGAAGCAAAGAAAACGTCTAAATGCGAAGCCCGACTCTGGAGAGAAACGTCTAAATGGGAAGAGGCAACAAATTTAAAAACTTTAAATTGCAAGCTTCTTCTGTCGCTAAACGTCCAACTGGAAAGCTTGGAGCCATGAGAAACGTCTAAGAGTAAAGCTTTAAAGCACACCAAACGTCCCTTATTAATGCTTGCCTATAAAAGCAAACGTCTAACATGGAAGCTCCACTGTGAAAACAAACGTCCAGGAGCTAAGCTTGAGAGTCAAGCAAACATCTATCTGGGAAGCTTGAGGTCATGTGAAACGTCCAAGAGTTAAGCTTTAAAGCATACCAAACGTTCTCCATTGAAAATTGTCTATCAAAGCAAACGTCCAGAAGCTATGCTTGGTATCCAAGCAAACGTCCAACATGGAAGCTCCATTATGAAAACAAACGTCCTGGAGCTATGCTTGGAAGTCAAATAAACGTTCCAGAAGGAAGCTTAAGTCTTTAAGGAACGTCTTACAGTTATGCTTTGAATCCAAACAAACGTCCCAAGAAAGCTTAGGACAACAACAAACTTCTTTAAGGAAAACTTTATGTACCCAGAAACGTCCAACGTGAAAGCTTCCTCAATAATTTGATTTTTTTCACATATCACCCAAACTACTTTCCCACATATCTTACAGTAATCAACCTAACATCAACCCATGCAACAAATCTTTAAAAGGATATAGAATTGTTATTTTATAATATACACTTATTTTTAATATAATTTTAATAATAAAATCGTAATCATATTTATTAATGACAAAATATTTTTTTAATAGAATCATATTTTAATAGAATCGTAATTTTTTATTAGTTTACAAATAATTCTCATAGTTGTGAATTGATCTCACTTAAACTATTAGTCCAATAGAAATGACTTTATTTTTTAGTGAATCAAAGTATAGGTGCATATTTTTTAGAGAATCAAAGTAGAGGTTACTTTGATTCACTAAAAAATGAGGTCATTTCTATTGGACTAATAGTCTATGTGAGATCAATTCACAACTATTAGAATTATTTGTAAACTAATAAAAAATTACGATTCTATTAAAATATGATTCTATTAAAAAAAATATTTTGTCATTATTAAATATGATTACGATTTTATTATTAAAATTATATTAAAAATAAGTGTATATTATAAAATAACAATTCTATATTCTTTTAAAGATTTGTTGCATGGGTTGATGTTAGGTTGATTATTGTAAGATATGTGGGAAAGTAGTTTGGGTGATATGTGGATAATCTTTCCTTAAAGAAGTTTGATGTTGTCCTAAGCTTTCTTCTGGGACGTTTGTTTGGATTCAAAGCTTAACTATCAGACGTTCCATAGGGACTTAAGTTTCCTTCGGGGACGTTTATTTCACTTCCAAGCTTAGCTCAAGGACGTTTTCAAATTTGTAACAACAAATTTCGTGTATATTTATAAACACGAAAAATATTATTCAAATGAATTTCTCGAATCAAAATAAATATAGCGGATTACAATTTCTATTATTCCTCTGATTCTTCTCACGAACGATATTGAGTCTTGGAGCGAAATCTTCGGTTTGATCTTCTCCTTGACTTGATTTGACTTGAATTAACATTAATCCGAGGGCCAACGCCTTGATTTCGGATCAAACGTCGAAATATCCCAAGAACACGAAGAACAAGAATCCTTGGTCTTCGTCGCAAAGTAGACCTTGAATCTTCTCCACGCCGGTTTTGAGTTTACTAACGTTATTCGAAGGTATGATCGCACCCATACCTTCGAATAACGTTAGTAAACTCAAAACCGTCTATTTTTCAGGTTGTTGGCTGTGTAGTTGCGCCCCTTTTGTGTGTTGTTTGTTTGGTTTTGTTTGTGTGTTTTCCCTTTTCACCTCTAGGCCTTAAGGCAGTGGATGGTGCTTGTATTTTTTTTTGGTCTTTTAGTTGTTATTTTCTTCTTTTAGATTCCTTTTTAATTGGTTGAGGTTCTAGGCCGCTTTGGGCGTGTCCTTTCAGTTTTCTATTTCGGTTTTGGATTGTATTATTCGAACTTGGTTCGCTTTGAGTTCTATAAAATCTCTATCGTTTTGTCAAAAAGTTATTCGAAGGCTTTGCAGCTTGTTTCCGGATTGAACGCCAGTCTTGAGGTTGAACGCTCTTGAATCTTACTTCGAATCTTCAAAAACGCCTTTGAATCTTCAAGAACACTTGAATCTCGTCGAGATAATTCTCTAAAGCTCTTGAACTTGAATATGAATTATGAAGTGTTTTTTGTTACATTAGGGAGAACCCCTATTTATAGGTGTAGGAGGGAGAACCATACCAAATTTAAGAATCGTAGAACGCGATTTAATTGGTCCATGATGATTCACATAAGATCGTTTAGATCTACATAGATCTCCCCAAGATCTTCTAGAAGACATGTGATTTATTACCAAGAAATATGATTTGACACTTGACAATATTTGATTGGTCAAGAATTAATATAATAAAATATCAATTAATTAACTATCTACAAGAACATTTGTTATGCTTTAATGCTTAACTCTTGGACATTTTGCGTGGCCTCAAGCTTTTCAATTAGATGTTTACTTGAGTTCCAAGCTTAGCTCCTGGACGTTTGTTTTTACAGTGGAGCTTCCATGTTGGACGTTTGCCTGGCTTCCAAGCTTAGCTTCTGGACGTCTGCTTTCATAGGCAAGCTTTGATATAGGACGTTTCGTATGCTTTAAAGCTTAACTCTTGGACGTTTCACATGGCTTCAAGCTTTCCAGTTAGACGTTTAGCAGCAGAATAAGCTTGCAATTTAAAAGTTTTAAATGTGTTGCCCCTTCTCATTTAGACGTTTCTCTTCAGAGTCGGGCTTCGCATTTGGACGTTTCCTTTGCTTCCAAGCTTTGCTCTTGGACGTTTGTTTTCACAGTCGGGCTTCTTTGCCGAACGTTTCTTTGGCTGCCAAGCTTAGCTTCTAGACGTTTCTTTGACCTCCGAGCTTTGTTGTTAGACGTTTGAATGCATTTTTTTCTGTTAACTTTTTTTTTACCACAAGGATAAATTTGTAAATTTATAATTTTTTAATATTTTTTTCGGGCGACAAATAACAACACCCTTACTATAATGTGCTTTTATTCTTTTCCTATATATATTCGTTTGGAAAACGTGTTGAATTTAAAAATCCTACCTCTAACAATATCATATTTAATATTTAGGTTCGTATAACAAATTTAGAATAGAAATTTGCTTGGAAAGTGACTTATTTAAATTTTTCACAATCCATCATTGTTTTCTATCAATCTCTCTGTCATTACCAAATTTGTTTTGAATTTAAAATTCACACAATCTTTCTTTCCTTATTTTATTCTTTTCATTTAAAAGATACTTGAATTTAATAATTGAGTTAACAGTGGATCAATACCGAATTAACAATATTTATTTTATTTGATAATTGAGTTAGCAATTTTTTATTTGATAGTTAATTTCTTTATATTCTTTTACTTGATAATTGAGTTAACTAATACCATATCTACATTAATCTTTTTACACTTTTATTTGATAACTGAGTTAACAATGTTTACTAATGTTTGACGAATATATGGTAACAAATTTCTTCACACTCCAAAATCTTCAATTCAATTTGTAACGAGATTCTAACACCATATTAAAAAAAAACTTGAATGCCTATTTTTGGGTGATTTATCTTAAACTAGGTACCATGATTCATATGACTGAGATAATTTATATTTACTTAATCTTTGTTTTAATAATAATATTACAAAATTAATATAGACTAATTATGTTTTACAAATGTTTGATACTGGAATATTTCAATGCCGTGGATTTAATAATTTTATTTACACATCCCTATTAATATGTATCCCAAATGTTTGGCGAATATATGGTAACAAATTTCTGCACTATTTTAGTTAATAATTGAGTTAACAATGTTTCCAAATGTTCCGATACCTACTCCAAGCTGTCCTTTTTCGACCTCCTAGCTTTGGATCGACCCAACTTGATAGCCTGAAAATTTTAAAAAGCACTGGAGACCTCCCGGTGTAGATACTCCAACGATCAAATTAGTATGTTTTCAATTGAAAAGAATAATATTACTTAACCATGTGGAACCTTTATATAAGAAATGCATGGTTTACCGTACTGTCTTGACTCGCGGGAGTATTCGACCTGCCGTACCATGTCGATGGTCGACCCATCTAGGGGTTTGAGGCAGGGGGACCCTATATCCCCTTACCTCTTTTTGTTAGTTTCTCAAGTTTTGTCAGCAGCAATTAATGATGAGGTCGGGAAGGGTAGATTTAGAGGTTTGAGGCTAGCTAAGGATTGCCCTTTGCTCACCCACCTATTATTTGTTGAAGATTCTCTTGTGTTCTGTAAAGCTGATGACAATCAGGCCCATCTGTTAAATCATATCTTGCTGTAATATAATCTCTTACAGGTCAAGGTATATCTTCCATTTTTCTTCAGCAAAAATACCTCTTATATAGTCAAGGGCAGGGTGTGTAGAATTTTTTAAGGAATCAGGGTTCAAAACTCAACTAGATACCTTGG